AAAAAAAAAAAAAAAAAAAAAAAAAAGTACTTGCTTATGTTAGTCACTTAATGCCTTCTTTTCAATATATATTGAAATAATTTGAGAAAGAAAATTAAGTCTTAGTAAAATGTTCAATTCTTCCCAGCCAAGACAAGTTCAGTTTTTCTCCATCTGCAGATATCTACTGTTATTCTTTTCCAACTCAGTAAATAGTTATTTTAAATATACTAGTATTTTTTGTCAAGCAAATTCCTAATTATTTAACCTTTTTTAAAGTAATGTTAAACCCCTTAATTAGATGCAAGTATTCTTCTTCTTCTTTTGCCAAATTCTATGTCAGCATTTGAGCTTTTTATTTATTAATCCAATAACCTGGCACAAAACCATATTGCTCTATTGTATATGTTCCGTTAACAGTACTCAGGAATCTTCAGGTTGAGTAAATGTGAGTACCACATCGTCATCATATAATTTCAATCCATGTTTTTATGTTGTTAATTTAGCTCCTGGGATTTCACTGAGGTATGATCATTGCCTGTGGTTCTAAGGCCAGTAAAAATAAAGGAGGGGAAAGGGAGCAATCTTGTCTGGTCTTCTTCAGTATAGGACATCGTTATGATAAAGAGCCATTTACGATTGTCTTTGCTTTTTGTTCTTTATAAATAATCTGTACCACGTGAGAAAAGTAGTCCCACAACTCATCTTTGTCAAAACCGCAAGCATAAAAAACCAAGCCACGTTTTTTAAAAAGCCTTTTCTGCATCAAGAAAGATCATAGCCACGTTTTGTTTTGGGTTTTTTGTTTTTGGCTGATGTGGGTCTTCTGGGCTGTTTTTTGTTTTTGTTTTTATTTATGTCGTCAATAATATTCAAAATAATTTATGATGTTTGTCATATATTTGGAACAAGTCCAGCCTGATCAGGTTGTATAATTTTGGTTAAAAGTAATTTATTCTCTTTGTGAGAGTACTATTCCAATTTATTATTGAATTTTTTTTTTAAAAAGTCAGGTGGGCAGGGAGCTTGGCAGGCACCAATGAGAAGCATTTGCAGGTACCCCATCCTAGAATTCACTTTTTTAATGAATCGCCCTGGATGCCTTTTAATTTGGGGACTCAGTTAAAGAGTTTAAACTTTAAAACCACAAAGAGCCTATTTCCAACTAGCTTCTCTCCTCATGATGTCATCTGATGAGGACCAGTTTCACTGAGCAACCCTTTACATATGCAATTTGGCAGCTCATAGTTATGTAAATAACAGCAGTTTAAGCTGACATATCAAAATTAGAGTGACCTGGAAGAAATGGATCCTACACTGCATTCCCAGCAACCCTGTCCTATATATGAAGGAGTTGTTTAGCATGGAGAATCAGCTGCCATTATGGCAAGACATCATTTTGTGAAGATTAATGCTCCCCAGCACACTCTGTAATGGCAGACCTTAGAAACTAGGGGCCAAAGTCATTCTGACTGCTATTGCAGTGCTCTGGATGCATGAACACCCCAGCTGACATGTTCTGTCAGCATTGGACTGGCAAGGTGGAGGTGAAAAGGAAGAGACATTGATATTAATTCATATCTTTCCTGAATTAAAACAAAAATTGCCCTTCCATTGTGAATAATGGTAGGGAAATCACTGAGACCAGCTGTTGGGGGCTGGAAGCCCCTCACATCCTGCCTTACCTCAATCGAGCAACACCTAGTTTGAGACTTTCCAGCAACAGAAAGACAGTCTTGGAGGGTGGCTGGAAGAGAAATCCAGTATTGGATTTTCCCATCTGAAAGGAAAATCTGTGGAGTGTGGGGGGCATAGGTTTGAAACTTAGTCTTTTAATTTAGGGACTTTTTCAGTTGTTCCAGATTTTCTTGGATACACTTTAACTTCTGTTTTTATAATGTAAAACTTGTTTGAGTGTTATAAGAGATTAGCCTTGTTCTCACAATGATCCACTCTTCACAAATGGCTAATTAGGATACAACCATCACAAGAAATTGAATTAAAAAAAAAAAAGGTTTCTGAACAGCAGCCATATTAGTCCTTGAAGCAAAAGTTTTACCAAAAAAAATCAGAAAAGGTTGTTCCAGAAGCTGCTGTGCACTAAAATAACTCTGGAAGAATTCCTATAAAAGCCTGCTCATTCAGGTTAATTCAGAAAGCATGTAACCCATCTTCCCACGTCTTGCCTGTGCTGTTATTTTCTTTAAAGGTGGGATAACTCTTGAGAATTTCACTTGGGAATGAAACGTCTGGTCTGAAAAGCTCAAAAGGAACCAAAACTTCCCTAACAACTGTTTGTATTTTTTTATGGGAGGTGGCAAGAATTTGGAAAATTATTACAGTTTAGATGTGTGTATCTGGCATGTCACAGCCAGGTTTAGATTATGTTTTATAAAGTATTTACTATAGTTGAACAAAACTGAACAGGCTACATGGGATGTGTACAGAGTATGCTAATATATATTTTTGCAAAAAGGAAAGAGATTTTGCTTTGCCATTTTACTACTAAATTCAGATTAATTCAATAAAAGGGTAGGGGAGAGATAAAGTATATGCAGGCTAATCTTTTTTAAGCTTCCCAATTGCTCATAAGTTGGAATGCCCTTAGTATCAAAAGGCTGGGAACAGCAGGATCGGAGATACAGGAATAAGCAACATAGGTGAGGAAAAGTGGAAATAGATGCAATTTTCCCAACTCATTATAGGTCACCACTTGTATGTAATGTATAGAAGTTATGAGCTGGACTTGATAATTGAAAATGGGCCAGACTAATCTAATGAACAATTCATGGTATCATCTTTAATGCTTGAGCAGAATCTTTATTCAGCTGCTTGGACACAACAGTTTTTGAGGAAGGGGCAGAAAACAGCTGTGTAACATTCATCACTTTTAGGTTTTGAGCTATGATGCAGAACAGTACAAAAATATTGGGGTCATGTATCATGCTAAGCCATGATGGTGTCTGCTTTTGGTTTAATGTAATATGTGAACCCAGCACTTGTAGTTTGTAAACATAAATCATAGTTATATATAACTTAGCATTACAGTATGTATGAACCAGCCATTGTGGTTTATTTAATAAACCATGCTTAAAAGTCTAGTGACTTAGCCTAATGTATGAACCCAGACAAAGTAACGACAGTGGCTGCCAATTTTAACAGGAGTGGCTGAAATTGCAGTAAAACTGATGCTCCCTGGTGCAGGATCAGCAGTTGTGCTGCCTGCTATAGGTTTCTTCTTGCTCCTACACTTCTCTGTTTTAATACTAGTGAATAATCAAACATGGTAAAGGTGACAAAAATCTCCAGTGTCCTCTTTTTCCCCAAAGGAAACTAAACCCTGTACTTCTGTTCATGAACTTCTCTCTGCTTAAGAAATGAGAGAGCAAGTGATGTGGAAAAATGCGCTGTTGTCTTCCCTGTGAGTTACCCTCTTTCTTTCTTCTTTCAGATTCCCCAGTTCATACCAGTTCTGTACCTGGAAATCTGTCACCAACTGGGAATTCTATAAACAGTAAATCCAACTATCTGGAAGCACCTCTTGGTGCACTGGGGACTCTGTCCTCCCCCATGAACTCCATAGGGTCTGGCACTACAACGAGCTGTCCACTTAGGGTAATCCCAACTGCGGTTGGGTCACATGTTGTTCCTTTGACTTCACCACCAGACATGAGTTATGCTGTGCATACCAGCCCACAGGTAGGCATGAGCTCTCAACCTTTTTGTTTGGTATAAGAAAATTGGTGTTTTTATTAGTATTTCATACCCTCAGCATAGTTTTAAACCATGTGTGGGGTTCTTTCTATCTATGAGTTCTTTCCTTTTTCTAAATAAAGACTTAGGTGTTCTGTTTCTGTTCCACATGTACACCTGCCTTGCTCTTATATTTCTACAGGTTACATCAATACAACGTTATGCAATTTGGACATAAAGAATAGCAGTGGAAGCTAAAGAGGCTTTATAGTTTTATATTGGACTACAGCTTCTGTTCTCTTTCTCACCCACTCTTTGCCAAAGTTCTTAATTTTTAAGGGAGTTTCTTCCATAGGTGTTGAATGACAAAAAATACTGACCTCAGCAAACTAGGGATAACAGATGCTTTTCGGTATGGGGACCAATGGCTAAGATCACAAGGTGTGTGGCTCCAAATATGCCAAATGGGTCTGCTTCTTGATGTTGACTGGCCGTAGGGGAACAATCTCTAGCTATATCTAAGCTGAATACTCTAATGTTCCCTAGAACTAACTTTGAAAAAAAAAATCAGTAATTGCAGCTGGTTCAGAATATACCAGAGTCTGATCTGATCTGAGGAGTTTGTGACTTCTTTATTGCAACAGCTCATCTCTGAGCTGCTTTCTAAGTGGTTTTATTGGTTGTATTATTTTCTTCTTTGTATGTCTGATATATGAGGAATACATGGTTCTTAATTGTCTTGAGTTTAAGAAAAAACAGATCAGTACACATACATACATTAAAGGAAAGGTTTAAGGGAGGGGAGGTAACCTAGAAGTGTGTAGAAAATAACTTTAAAAAAACCTTAGGGGCAAAGGACACACACTACAAAGTTTAAAAAAAAACATTGATGACACATACACACACTTGATATGGGAGAAAGCAAAGAGGGAGGAGGAGGGGGAGAAAATGCATGTGAAGTTTAACAGGATCCTCTGAGCCTGATCCTCCATCAGAGATCAAGAATATCTTATGTCTCTCTCAGTGTAGCCACTTTCCTTAGCTTCACTTGTCTCTGCTGGGATAGACACCCTTCCCCCAATGCACACGCTACTTGGTTCTGCCTCCAGAGAAAGAATGATTCTGTTTTCCTTACTGACTTCCTGACTTCACGCATCACACTAAAGCCCAACTGGTGACTAAGCCTAGATAGGCTGCATTCACATGTTGCACTGGCCAATAAGTGATGATTACCCAACCACAAATGATTGGGTTCACACAACATGCTAAGCCAAATCCCAAAAGCACTGTGCCTTATTGCAATGTATGAGCACAATCTCTGGGGAAGGAAAGGGGCAGGGGGACAGAGAAACTGAACATTCATTCGTATGTACTGTCACGTTCTAAGATGCTAGTCTTCTTTCTAGCAGCCTTTCTTCTTCCCTCTTTGGGCAAATATCCCTGCATTCCCTTATCCATGGTGGAGATTGTTCCTGACAATGAAGATAACTGAGGTTAAAGCTAACTATTTTGAAGATCTGAAACCTTTATAGAGGTGATATCCAGAATCTATTTGGCTGCCCTGGTGGAACTGTTCCCTAGCCTTTTAGTCTGGCCTACAGGCCTGAGCCTTGACTGACAATACTATTAGGAGAAAGAAATACAATGTTATTGTTGTTGATATTGGCCAGTACAATACATAAATAAATATAACATATTATAAAACACTAGAACCAATGTAAGTAGCATATAACATACTGTATACAGTTACGAAGTTAATCTAGAAATTATAAAAAACAGAGCTAATCTTAAAAAAATTAAGACAGTTGAAATAAACTATGCTACTTAAGAACAGTAAACACATAAATATTTTAGCTATCCATTGTAAAGTTCTTACACGTTTGGATAGCCTCTGAGCAAAATCTCACCACAAGAAAAAATGAATAGCTCTGAGGTTGAGTGTGAACAGAATTAAGTGGTTACTTTTTATTTTCTGGGTAGGCTGTCAAACCTTATTTTTTATAATATCGGTTTTTGGATTCTGAAACTTAAGAAAAACAATATCTTAAAGGTCAGTAATTCTACAAACTCTTACCTGGGAAGAAATCCTATGGCTTCCTTTGATATTTGAGAAATGTTTTCATCAGGAAAGAAACTAGAATAGAGTAAATTTCTTGGGATTCTTTTGAGTTTATGTCTTTTTTTATGTAGAATTCTGCTGCCAGGTGTAGCAGACATTCAACTGGGAGTGTTTTGACTAAAGGATAGTAGAGATGAATGAATCAGTCTGTTTTGGTTCATTGATTTTGTAAAGAAGTCACATTTGGGGTTCAGTTATGTAACATTAAAAATGCAAAAACTCATGTTTTTATTCAACTGTGAAGTATGTGAATTTATCCTCCATCACTGGTCATGGGAGATGGGAGTTGTAAGCCAGCATGGCTGGAGGGACCAGGTAGGAAGCTGCAACAGAGCTAATCCAGCCAATTCCATGTGACTCCCAACTGCCTCTGCCACTGGAGAGCAGACTGTTTCTCTGCTTTAAGTTCCCCTGGCTTTAAAGCCTGAGGTGTTGTCTTTTCTTTCATGGGAACTCATGCAGCAATATCCTAACAGTCACTCTTTGCAGAACAGTTTGGTAGAAGAGCCACACAGTATAGAGCGGAAGCATAGTGGGTCAGATCTCCAACCTTCTGCTGAAAATTGCCTGTCAGTGGTTCTAGGGAATATGTTTGCTAAAGGATGACTGATTTCTGAATGTTTTGCAAAATGAAAAATTGCAGAGGAGAAATGGTAAATAGGAAAAGAGTGGAGCTGCTCTCTTTTGCTGCTTTTTTCCTCAAACTGCCCTCTCCTTGTGTTGTTTTTTAGTGCAAGAAATAACATTCAAGGTTTTATTTTTTAAAATCACTTTTTGCATGTAATAGACACATACCTCAAATATGCAGACAATACCACCCTAATGGCAGAAAGTGAAGAAGAAC